TTAATCCTTCCTACCCAGGAGCAGGGGATGTCTGTCCATTTTCTGATATCATCTTCAATCTCTCTTTTCAGAGTGCCATAGTTTTCAGAGAAGAGGTCACAAAAGACCATCTTAATCATGCTTATTGTTTGACATTTTCCCTACTAGAAAGTTTGAGAAAATGGAATCTCAAATTGTTGACTTCTGGATTTTTTTGTTTGTTTTTTTACCTTCAGTGCGGGGATGCAACCCAAGGCCTCATGCATGTGCTCTACCACTGAACAATATTCCCAGTCCCTCTGTCTTTAATTTTCATTGTTTCCATCCTGGGAATTGAAACAACTTTTTGATTCTTAATTGTATCTCCACCTATGAGATAATATTCATTTGCCCCGTCTCATCTTGAAACTAAGCTCCTTTTTTCCCCCTGGAATAAGAACTCTGGTTAAGAGTAAGGAGAACTCAGAAAGTTTCAGTCTCAGCATATTGAAATCTGTAAAGTTCAGCTTACAGGATATGTAGTCACCACTCAAGGACTACTATGTTTACACATCTAGACTAGAGGAAGGAGATTGGGAAGCAAGAGACACACATCTGAGCCCTGGCTTCATCAGTAACTAGATTAGTGACCTTGGGCAAATCACTGAGTAAACCCTTAGGTCTCCTCTTCTTCATCTGTAGACTTTTGATATTGAGCTCTGGCTTTCCTACCTCCTCAGCCTGTTGAGAGACTGAGATGGAATAATAAATATGGAAATGTTTTGAAAAAGAAAAAGTAAAAATCCTTACAACCTTACTGTAAAGTCAGGCATTGAACTACTCTTTCTTTTCTTATTTTTTTCAATGCCAGGGATGGAACGCAGGACCTCATACATAATAGGCAGGGCCTCATACATGACAGGCAAGTGTTCTACTACCACTGAACTATGTACCCAGCTTCCTGAGCTAGGCCTTTAACTCATTCTCATTCCAAGCCTTGGTCCCTAATACTTACTCTTCAGCTTTTTTTTTATCATTGCAAAACATAAATTACCTAGCCCCTTATGCAAACATACGTAGCAGACATTTTGTTCATAGGGTGACAAGATTGTCTTGCTTCTCTACTGATGAAAATGACTGCTGCTAGAAGCCATCTCATCTTTCTTGGAAGGACAACTAGAAGAAGCATGATGGGGTAGTGGAAAGAGAACTCAGGATACCTAGATTCTAAGCTGATTCTGCCATTAGTTAGCTGTGTAACATTAAGCAAGTCACTCCTCCTTTCTGTAAATTGAAGCAGTTGAGCTACTTGATTCCTTAAGTTCCTCTGTAGTTTGCAAATTGTATGACTACTTCCTGACAAATGCATCAACTTAATGTATGGGTGAACAAAGGTTTGATATTGGAGATGAACCAAGTTAGAATCAAGCAATAGCAAATGGTTAGCTGGTATGTATTTCTCTCTCTCTCTCTCTCTCTCTCTCTCTCTCTCCTTTCTCTCCGTGTGTGTGTGTGTGTGTGTGTGTGTGTGTGTGTGTATGCAGTGGAGCTATCAGAAAAAAGATAGACTCACTGTAAAGTCTGTCAAATTGCCTGCATGAAAACTGTGGAAGGTCCAGGACCAGGTAGAAATAGAAAACTGCATATTAATGGAGAAATGAAGTGATATTAATTGGTCAACTTTGTTGGATTAAAAGATGTCTAGAGAGATGATCTGATGGTGAGGGTATTAAATTACCAATGGATTAACCAATTGAAGACCTCATAGCTGAATGGGCTATTAGGAAATGGAGCCTATTTGGAAGACTTAGGTCTCTTGGGGCATGACCTTGAAAAGTATGTCTTTTCTCAGACTCTTCCTCTTTTGTCTGCTTTTTGGCTGCCAGCGGTTCAGCAGATTTCCTCCACCATGCCCTTCTGCCATGATATTTCTGCCTTGGCATTAGTCAAACAGGGACAGAAAGCTCTGAAACACTGAGCCAACTTAAACCTTACTTCCTCTAATCTGTTTTTCTCAGGTATTTGGTCACATTGATGAAAATCTGATTAACACTGATGGTGATCCAAAACACACATTTCAGGTATAATTGAATCAATTGGGAGAAAATAATCTCACCTGGGGAGACCAGAATAAGAAGAAAAGGGGGATTTAGGTAGAATACTGGATTATACTAATATTTAAAATATTTAATATTTTAAAATCAAGAAAAGTAACAAAGATCTCAAAAGGAGCAGCCAGAGGAGGTGGGCAAAAGGCCAATCAGCAGAAACAAGTAAAAAAATCAATATCAGACTGAATAATCCCATCCCATTTAAAGAATCTTCTTAACAATTTTTTCTTTCTTTTTTTTCTGGGTGGGGGTTGTTTTTTGTTTGTTTGTGTGTTTGTTTTTTGAGGCAGGGCCTCCCTTTGTAGTTCAG